GTGCATCAGAATGCTGACACCAAACTGCCGTGGCACGCAACAAAAGTCACATCGGTATCTGTTTGATGATGAGTTGGGAAAACCGACAGTTCACTACCTAACTTTTCAACACAGCGACCGCGGCCTTCGGGCTCACAACGTTACTCGCATTGCTGAATTTGCATGGAGCTTAGCTGCTCAGAACCTCAACAATCAATTCCAAGATGGACCTGGACCGGAAGAGCTACCGATGCGTACAAACCTTCGAGCTACTTTGCGGTGTCGTCGGAGAACACGACGGTGTTCAAAAGTTACAGAACTGCGGTTCCAACAAAGCAAGCGCCTCATAGCGTGGAGGCAATTTGACAACGCTGTGGACTTCCTACAGTGTCCAGAACGCACGGGCGAATACGAAAGGGCAATCGTGACATGCCTCTCAAGGAACCACAAGCCGGTGATTGGCGGTGACATCGGCCTCTTTTCTGAAATTACCAAGTAAGATGGGTAACCCAATCACACCCAAGGACAAGCAGGTCCTCAAGGAATTGTATGGACAGTACAAGACGCCAGTGCCTCTTTTGGGGAGAAGGGTACGCCATGTGGGTGGGCTAAGTCATGGTGATTTGGACCCAGGCGTCCGCGTGCAAAGTCCCAATATTTCCACCTCTCCGAAGAGGAGTTTGGAGTATTGGAGGATTTGACATTGGAATCTCGTGGCAAGATGAGCCTGGCCAAAACTTCCCTGGGCAAGCTGAAACGGATCGAACATATTAAGTGAAAAACTCAACCCCTCAATTGCACCAAGCTGTGAGGCGGATGGAAACTGGGAAACGGCGAACCTGAGAGAAGGTTGGTCGGATAAAGCACTATCCTCCGTGAAGATCTGAATATGCCAACGGACGCCATCATTCACACTCGAATGTCCATAAAATCCGAAATGGTTGGGACTGACGACGGTCGGTGTCTACAACCTTGTAGCACGACTTCCGAAATCTTTGTCAGGCCCAAAACTGTCTGCCAACATGGAACCGGCCAATCCTTTGTTCGGCAATGGCATCCGGTTGCTTCTTTTGGACCCATTCCTACCAGCCCTTCCCTTTCACGACCATAAGAGGTTCAGCTGCTCGGGCCGGCCCTGCACGGTGGGTGTGTCAAGCATCCGTGGAGGTACAGTACTATGCCATGAATGCCAATGTTTCGGAGATCGTTTGGCCGTCAGGGCTTGTCAACAGGCGCATTAGGACAAGTTCCTCGCATTCCTTAGCGAAGTCAGCAACTGATGCTGGCTTACAGGGCTCATGGGGATCTCGTGAAACTACCCAACCTACATAACTGATGGGGAGGTTTGCGATATGGTTGCTTTGGGTACGGTCTGCAGAAGGGTGCGGTTGTCGCCATCCGCATACCCGAGGGCCGCATCGCGCGGATCAAGCGCTTCACCTGGCCTCGTTTCGCTGGTTCCTTGCGACCCGTGCCGCCTGAGATCGAATGACAACGGCGGTACAAGATCGGATTCAAGATCGCTTGAAGCAAGAAGATGCGTTGAGAGCCAAAGATGAGGTGATAAAGGCCAGAGACGAGAAGATATACGCGATGGACCGAGATATGGCAGAAGTCAAAGCAGAGCACCAGCGCGCACTTGACCTCTGAGGTAAGTTGTTGCTACAGTTCAACATCCCTTTTTCCTCCGCAGGTGCAACCTTTCGAAAACATGACTTCGTGCGGGATCTTCACATAGGGATCTACCACACTACGTGGCTATAATATGGTTCAAGGAACTCGCTGCGCTCGTGCCGACCAAGGTCCTGCCTCCGCAGGTAGTGTGCCTTGCGATCCGCCTGCAGCAAGCTGACAAGAAGGACTTCCCAACACTCAATTACAAGTGCCCACAATGACCAAGTTCTGTGGAAGTTGTTGCGGCTCGCCATAGGCGTAACAGCCTGTGCAAAGTCTGTGTTAATTGTGGATTGCACCATCCGGGCCAATGTCGATTGTCTTGTTCCTCTTCTCCGGAAAAACAAGAAACATTCATTCGCGGAGTGCACACGCGTCGACCTTTGATATTTATATATATGCGATGAAAGAGTTGCATGTTTCCAACAACATGCACATTTGCTGAACGGAACCGGGGTAGGCCCAGAATGCTGGTCGCTTCTATTTCCAGATACTGAGCGCAGTTCAGCGTGCGGCGGAACCACTAGGAGCATTTGACCCAGTGGACTTTCAGGCTATTGACAAAGAGGTAGAGGCACAACGCGCCAAGTGGGAAGACCTGGGCCTCCTGAGGGCGACATGGCCGCGAGGATTTTTCACCACAGGCATGCTTTGCCCCGAATGCAACAAATGGATGTTGACAGCGATCCATATGATCACCTTTGCCCCCAATTCCATGCTGTTCCTTTGCCCTCATCCAGCCAGGACGCCTCTTAATGCTTGCCCTTTACCGGACATACAGGATTTGGACACATTATCAGGGAGGACTTGAAGAGGTGAAAGGCCAAAGGCAAAACAGAGGTCGGGCGCTCTTCTCTTGGTGTTCTGCTTCTTGTCACCGTTACGCCTGGCTGCTGCTGGAATGGTTGTCGGACTTAACCACCGTCCTTTTTCTATCGGAATCCGAGAGCAATCTGGTAATGACAGACGCAGTGAAAGACTCCATCTCTGGTTTGTTGCAAATGCTCGCAACCTCATCCGACATAATCGGCCGGCCCCTCCAGCGCCAACTGCAACATCACGCCAGAGGACATGGACGGCCTTGCGCAGGCGGCTGATCAACACAATCTCAACCAGGCACCTCGCCAAACCGAGGAGTACAAATAGGCGTCTCTTACTTCTCTTCTCCTTGTTTCCTTTTCTTCTTTCGTCCTTCATCCTTCAAGTCTTTTGTTCCTTCTTCAACCCTCAAGTCTTCTTTCAATTGCAAACCATACCATTCTGCAAATCATTCTATCATCAGCATCATGCCTTCGAGGCAGGCAAGAACGCCAACCTGGTTGCAAGTGCCAAAAACACTAGCCACTCTCGGCGAGTCAAACAAGTGGTGAGCGGTCTTTTGGCGACCAGAGCGGCCAAAACAGCATCCTTTGTGAGTGTATTGCACAGTATTTCCCACCCCTGCCGCTTTACGTCAGGAACGACGTGAACAGGAACGCCGGGCAGCCCTATCCCATCAAAATTCACGATGACTTGGCTCGAATTCAGAATTCAAGCTGTGACAATATAACACCAGCCAGATCTGGGACTCGGCATCCCGACGTTCACGAACTACACCGCGCTGATCGACCTTTCAGCGTCCGGGAGTCAGCCACCCGGGCGGGGACTGGTCTGTGAACAATATGGCAGACAACTGCCACCTACGACCTCGCGCAGTGTATGACTCCTATCGGATTGAAGAGTTCGTCCGTGGTTTCTGTTCCAACAAACTCCGAAGAGAAAGAGTACGGGTCCATAGTTGTTCCATATGATCTAGAGTGCTCCCGAACAGTTACAGGTTGGTGGCACAACTTGGTCGCTATCCCGATACCGCACGAATTCAAAGCAGGCAAGCTTGAGCCATTACCATATTGGTTCTGTTTTCTGTGGTGGAGACAGGAGCTGTGCCTGGTGCGAGTCTAGTGATGAAGAAGACGCGATTGAGGGTACACATTGGCTTGAGATTCTGGTTTCGCGCCTCGCAGATTGCCTTCCGGGCTTTGCTACATGCCAACATGGCTAGCTCTCTGGGTTAGTGACTCAGCTTTCGCAGAAATTGACCCGGAGCGCAGCCTCTTCCTTGGTCCAAAGGAGGTCTCAATTGAGAATACCAACATCTGTTTTCGGCTCTAGGTGCCGTCATGTCCGGGTGTCGCAAGGATTCTTGTCCGCTACGACCTTTGCGTGGAATGACCAATGCATGTTCCTGGTTCGCCGCTACTTGTTCCTAAGCTGCACTTCCAAGAGACACAACAGCATATACACATATATCTATTGTCTCATGTGGGTGCTGTCTCAAATGGCGGGCGTAATGGCAGGTTTTCAGATCCACATTGATCTGAGCAGCAAACATTGCTTGTCTGTGATGCTCACCTGGGCGAGGATTCTATCGTCTATACTTCAAGCGCTTGCTCACTTAGCCTCCTTACTGCTAGCTTTACGACAACTATTGAAGTGGGCTCTCGGAGAGACTTGCTGGCATGTCGGACAGTCAAGACGTCCTCTTTGATGTGTCGAGGAGGTCTGACACGGTTCGGTGGCCGATTTATATGGACGCACAGGCCAGTTGCGTTGAAATAAACCTTCACCATGTCACAAGAAAAGCTAGAGGAACATATGCCATTTGGGTGAGTGAGGAAGCAATAGCAGAGCAATGCTTCGTATTTTCCGATTTGAGCGTACGGTTCAACATACCGTGTGCTTTGAAGACGAGTTTCGCCAGGAGCCGGGCATCAGCAATACGACCATGACAGCAGCAAGGGACTTGATTCTTGAACGCGCAAAATGAATACCAAGAGGTACACCGAGGATTGTGCAGATGTCAGGTACTCCGATTCGGCTTGGAGCAAAGGACCTAGTCGGAGTGGCTTCGCTATGGTTACTTTGTATTGGCCTTGAGAGAGAACAACTTCAAAGGGAAGTTGTCTGCAACATAGGTTGAGAATGTCGACGTGTGCTTTGAAGTGAGGTTGGGAGGGTGGCTCAGCGGCATTGGCACGCTCGCCTGTTGAATCCCGCAGAGGATCGAGTCTCCAGGCAGAGGCCACGAAATCCCACACAGCCTACTTTCCTGTTGCAAACGAGTCCACAGGAGTGCAGAAGACGAAAGGATGAGGAGTACTTGCCTCGATACTTGTGGACCGGCCTCAAAGGACAAAGAAAATGGCCATTCTATGGATGCTTCCTGACAGCGCACAAAAGCACCGCACACTGAACCCCCTCACCGAGCGATTCAGGAATATCCCACATGCTGGGCGCCTCAGTTGTAAAGCTACAGTAACGGCACCGCATTCTTGGTTCCCTTACTGGCTTTCGGTCCACAAGGTTGTATGGGCCGTTTCGTTGGTGTCAGATGGCGAGAGAAGTTCTTTATGGTCGCTATGCAGGAACCGGGTCCGGACATGTCGCTGTTCGGCTCTCACCGCCAGCTTGTCTGCAGCGCCCCGAGTTTTGGGGTACTTGGGGGACCTATGGCGGCCCGCTCGCCGTTGTTGGAAAGTTTGGTACTACACAAACAAATCCACCGATGTTTGGCTGGCCTGATCGGGTTGATTGCCTCTTCCATCTCTCTGCTCCCTTGCTTCGAAAAAGAAAGAACTCCAGTCGAAATCTTTGTCGACATGACTGGCTGGCATTCTGTGCCCTGGAGAGAATCCTTCTTCAGCTCAGCAAAACCACTTTACTGCTGCAGTGAGCATGGCAATGCCGTTCGGACCTCCTCAAAACCACACCATTTGACGACTTTTTTCGCAGGGCAGCAAGGCATGGACCCATCCGCCCGTAACGAGGACGATCGTTGTTTAAGGACCTGTTCCTCCCTCTGGACCCTCTCCGGTTCGGACGAGCCAATTTCATCACGTCTCCGATCTGGCCAGACACGGCCACTCGACTCCTTATACGCGGAACCTATATCATGAATAGCAGGCGATACCTCCTGCTGGGCAACAACAACAACATGTGGTCTTGGGGTGAGATGATACATGGAAGCAATATATATATATATATATATATATATATCACAGCATGGCGCGGTCCCCTTTAACAACGTCTGGCAATCGTCTACAGGAGGCTCCTAAATGGTACAGCCACCAGACTATTGAGCACTGATCATATGAGCTAGGGTGCCGAGATTTGTACGTTGGGTCACGAACCATGATACGAAGGCCCCTCAGACTCTGTTGAAGGAGTTCGAAACACGGTTCCCTGCGAATTGCTTGCCCGACGCTCGGAAACTCTGGGAGGGCTATCTGAAGCTGGTCTCGAATGACCATCGGCAGCGGCATAGACGATTACTGGGAGACTTTGAGTCCGCCGTCATTGGTGGTGCGCTTGAATGAGAGCAAGCAATGGAACCGCACCGGAGGTTACCCACAGATTATCACAAGAAAAGTGGGTGGTGGGTTCGTCGCATCAGGTAGTTGATAGGGACCCGGTTGCCCTATACCATCATCATACCATGCATAAGGAGATGACCCTATCTATTACGACATTTCCTCCTTTCAATTGAAGTCAATCTGATCTGCGCACGCTCGTGCAGACATGATTCATGAAAGTCTCCCGACTTCCAATCGAATGTGAAAAACCAGGAGCCTCCTACGTCTGCGGAAACAAGTGTCTTGACGGCGCGGTAACGAGCTGTTCCAACTTTGATAAGACAGGGGTTGCTGGTCTGAGCAGCACGATTGACAAGCATGAGCATGAAATCTCCGCTTGGGCTTGTCCTAAACGTATTCTCGGCCCACGCCTGAAGGGCGGCAGACCTTGCCAGTGCTGCCATTACAAATGGAAATGAATGAGGAAGTTGCAAGCAAACCTCCTCGATTTCCTGCATCGTCCGTGCCGCTGCCGCTGCCGATGTCTTCTTCCCCTTCTCCTGCAGTCCATTTGATGCTTGGAAATCTATTCTCATTACCTCATTCGGCAACGATGAACTCCAAACAGCCGGGTTCAGCCCGCTCTGGGCAACTGACACGCGATGTCAATACCGGCAAGCCAGTCTCAACTTTGGGAAAACGAGTGGCACAATTTCTTTTATGCGGCAGGACCTCATCTGGATGTTTTCTCGTGCGAGAGGATCTGAGTCAGATTTTCCCTGTGTGGCAGGATGTCGGTTGGGACCAGGTGCTGGAGCTGCTACAGGGGTCAGAAGGTATTGTCGAGTCCTCCCCAGAAATGCTCGTGTCTAACCTCGCTTTTCTCTAGTCGCGCCCAAGCGCGTCCTGGCAAGGCCGTGGATGTTACCAAGAAAGATGAGACCTTGCGTGCGGCTACCTTGCTTCAGTATGTCCTTACATCCGCTCGGCTTTTCCAGATACTGACCCGAAGAATAGAACGCATTGATGGAAGAGCTTCTTGTTGTCTATGACATCTACTCGAGCGACATTAAGGTGCAAAAGGTCAGAATCTTCAGGCTGACCGATATACACAATCGCTCGCCGGGCAGGGGAGTTCTCGAACTCAATTGGCGCAACACTGACCTGTTCCGACCACTATATATACATATCACATCAGGAGTCGAGGCTACCAGTGCATTCGTCCCCCGATCTCGAGTCGCACAACACCAAGGCCACCTTTGCCATCTTGCCACGCATCAAAGGTCAGAATTAACAAGTTCAAGACTGCTCAGCTGATAATTGGCACCATCGCCAGCAAACCCGACAAAATTTTCTCAAATATGAAGTCCATTTTGAGAGACCTGGCACTACCTTGCGCAAATACGTCGGTAGTCGTGGCGACATTCTCGAAGCACAGCTGCAACCAGGGTGTCATGTTCTTGACCTCGGTACTGGTCTTGGTTGGGTTGCTGAGGCGGCGGCGCGTCGTTGTCGTCTCGCAATCGGCACTGATATTAGTGGCAAGAACATTCAGCTGGCGAAGCAAAAAGCATCGCGCGCCAACCTTGGCAATCTTGCATATGCCGTTGCCGATTTCACCCTGATGAATGAAGTACGCGCGGCCATCCAAGCTGCAAGTCAAGAGTTGAACGTGTCTCCTGTGGTCCGCTTCCACGTCATCTTCATGTGCTAGAGTCTATCAGTAGTCCCAGCAGCAAAACACCTTCCATTGCTGCGTGATCTGGGCAATTTAGTCAAGCCAGGGGGTAAAGTGGTCTTCGACTTTCAATCTCCCGACCTCGAAATACAGAGTATTCATGTCAACTTTGCCATTATGTCGCCGATCCCAGGTCACGGTTCCCCATTCCAGCGAATTGGCATAACATTGCGCAAGTACAGTGGAAGCCGTGAAGGTTTCCTGAAAGCACGGACAGCCATCCGCGCCCTTGCACGCGAGGCCGGTTGGTCCCATAGTCCCAGCACAACTGTCCACCCCAAATGGCAGGGCTATGGATATGAAGATGTCACCCAACAGGGCCGTGGGCCGTGTTATTGCCGAGCGGTTGGCGATAGAACAACGGGAATTCATGACAGAAATGGATTTACTACACATGCAGACTAAGGTAATGCATCTGTATAGCACGTGTAGGTTCCATTTCCTTACTAGCACATCTCAGGTACATGAAACTGCTTTCCACGAATACCTCCCTCCTCTCCTCATCCAAACTCCGAGATGATCGCAGGGAACACCCACTTGCGCTAAATTGATACCCGAGTGAAAGTCTATGTTCATCAGCGTTGACCTTCGTCGATTCGACGACCTACGGGAGTGGAAGACTACCCAGGCTAAGTATTCTTTGTTGAACTGTGTACGTCGAACTTATCATCGCCAACTATATATATCGCTGCATTGGAGCAAGTTGAGGCCCGCCGCACAGAACAAATCAAGGAAGGAGCATGAATCCACGACGCGTTTTCTGAAATTCTGCCAGTCAAAGACTGTCATGCGAGGGTGTTTGGGTTGGGGGCGGGCATCAGGTGTACGTGTAACAATTGCCGGCACCAAGATGCAATATACATACTATATCAACACCCATTCATCCGACCGACGTCATGCGATATACCGACGAGCTGAAAGTGAAAGTTAACACACTCAAGAAGGGTGCGAAGCGCTCGGACGAAGATTCATGCAATCAAAAGCCCATTAGGTCCAAAGGCGACGATGCCACAGAAGACATTGTTCCGTCTGTTCCAGAATCACGCACGAAGCATCTCAGAGGGCAAGCAGTACAAGATTTCCGACGAGGATCGTGCCAAACTTGCCCAGCGCGAAGTCACCCAGAATCTCAGTCATGACATTCCAGCAATCATTGACGGGCTAAACCGGGCGAGACTTGTGCTGGATGGGGTGATCTCATTTGCTCACCCTGTCGACTCCCCATCATTGCCGCATGGCGACAACCATTTGGCCAGGAATATGATGAACAAGCAGTGTTAACATCGTTGTGGTTGGAGGTGACACGGATGCACGGGGACTCGCATGAAGCAGATCCAGTTCTGGATGAGGTGCATCACCAGGTATAGACAGCGGGAACAAGCTTGGTACACCAGTGCCGGGTGAACGAGGCGCGGGGGCTGGTCACTGGTAACGACGATACTGTGTTGCCAATGAGTCTTAAGGCGCTCCGGGCATTAGTGGAAGTATACTGCCACGTAGTAAGTGCTTATGCTATACGTCCCTTCTACCTTATGTATGCTAATCTTGCATGTAGTATAGAACGCTCCTGTTTGGAGTGATAATGCCACCGATCCTGAGAATTGAGAGCTGCTTGTGGGCGTGCTTCTCGCACGCGGTTTGCTTGTGTGATCTGGGAGATACTCCCGTGTGCCCTTAGTGGCACCATGCAATGGTGCAAGGCATGTCTCTCAGAAGAATGGCTTCATCGCGAAAGACCAAGATGATCGAAATCTCAAGGACTTGGTTTGGGGGCCACTATTGCTCCAGTCGCCTGATGAATACGAGGCCGTCTTCTCATGGCGTAGAGAAAAGTCGTTCGTATTTAGCTCACTTTATGCGTACGCAATCCGCTTTGAAAGTATCTCCTAGTACCTCGACTTACGCGCTTGAACAGTGCTGTTCACACCTCTTCTATCCGCGCCATCGTCCAACACCCTGGCACGAGCAGATGGAATCGACCACGACGAGAAGGTATTGATGAAGACAATGCCTTTCGACATTAATGACCTCGTTGGGATTGCACCTACGAAAGTTGTCCAAATCGATCACAATAATGTCTGAAGAATGCCGCGTCTCGCTGAAACCCTGTCGCTCCCTGGCCGCACCGGCGAAAACTCGCTCGCTAAACCCTAAACCCTAATCCTAAACCCAAGCGTTCGACATCATGGATGGAGGCGAATGGAGGCGAACGGATACAAGTTGCCCCTTTGAGCTGGGCATCTGCCACGAGGGTCTTTTCTTCCGATGCTGTGCTGGCTTTTTTCGACTTGCATACCTTTTTTTTAGGTTGCGCTGGCTCCATCTGGCAGGGTGCCATGAGGGTTGGTTTTTTTCAGGCGTGTGTTCTGTTTTTTCGACTTGCATACCTCTTTTGAGGTTGCGCTGGTTTCATCGGGCGAGGGGCCAGGGGGTTGAGTTTTTTCGGGCCTGTGTTCGGTTTTAATCATTCTCGACGCGATGGCCTACCTACCCCATAGTGACGACCAAACAGGAGAGTTGCGTGCAAAATTCCATGCGGATGGGACCAACGGGTACTGGGGAACTCCGTAAGTCCATCAATCGCTCCAACTGCCGTGCTTCGAACCGAGCAGGTGCAAAAAGGCTGTGTCCCTGTACGCTTTCGCTTTCCGCATGCTGGACCTCAAGGCGGCAATTTCAGAAGCGCAAGGACAATCCACAAATGTACGGATGGGCCAATGCCCGACCGGCGCCGGCGGTACCTATGCGATGTTTGAAGATGACTGTACTAGCCCCTGCTGGACCGCCGGACCTTCCCACGACTCCCAATCGAGGTGGCCAAAAAGCACTTCCATAACCCGCCGTGCCAGAGATGTCTGCGACGCTTGGAGCATGAACGACACAGTGTCATCTAATACGAGTTTAGGACCAATCAGGGCAGGAAGTCCATCAACTGCTCTCGATGCCAGGCCTCGAACTGTGCTGGACCTAAGGGCTGATTTTGGTGACGCGGAGAGTTTTGACGCAGTCGATCAATCAGGCAGAAGAAGTCCTTGTCAAAAAAAAGCGCAAGCATCTGGTGAGGTACCATTCGATGATATCAGGGCCTTCATGGGGGCACCTCCATCTTGGTAGGCAGGGGCATGACCAAGCGGAAAGTGGCAGGATCGAGTCCTATTCGTTCTCAGTCTGTCGGAAAGGAGTGGGAAAAGGATTTGGACGGTTCAAGAAGGAAGTTCATATCATGTTCGACTTGTAGCTCGTAGTTTCATACTCGACAACACCATGGCTCGTGTTAGCATGCTCCATATCTCCTGTTCTCTCACACTTCATAACACATCTTTCTGGTAGCGGGATGTTGAAACCGCCCCTTCATTGATATTCCCGACCCCAAGCTCTCTGCTGCTCATATTGATACACGGCGCTGGATTGAATGTCGGGGCACCTGTTTTGCCTTCCTTCACCATTGCGACTACGCATTCGGCGGGCCCGGAGACTCTAGTCCCGTGTTCCGCGTTGGTTGGACGTAGCAGGGTTGCCTTCTCATATCCTATCTGCCGGAATGTTGTTGAAAGGTTAGGCTGTGCCCAAACATCAGCTGCGGCAAAGACTGATGTCCCGAGCTGAGAGCTTCCTCACGTGCAGTGCGGCCTTTCATAATCTCCGGAGCCGTTGACGACATACCAGCCCTGCCTTTGCATAGCAAATCCATCTAGAATATTTGCAACATCGAGTGTGTTCAATCGCTGGACATCCAGCCCGGCGGGACGACTGGCTTTGGAACTGGTCTTGTGCATGCTTGCTGATAAATCTTGATGAGCCCTGCAACTGAGAATGGCTCGCCGGACACCATAGCATGCATCCAGTGCGGTATCTACCGTGTTCAGATGTTGAATTGCTGCAGTCCGCGTTCCATGACCACCATCTGATCTCGCGGAACAATGACTGCTAGCGCACAGATAAAAAGTGTAGTTCAGCGCCTCAGGCAGGTCTCCTCTTCACAAACTCCTCAAGGTCACCCCTAGTGACAACACCGAGCACGAATTTCCGACTTCCATCCGTGACGACTGCAAAATCCTGAGGTTCGCCCGTTGCCAACGGACCGACATTCTCGAAGAACCCTTCCAGTTCCCACAGCTCTGTGTCCATCGTAATAACCTGGTACTTCTTTGCTCCGCGACGCTGGAATTTGACCATGGCTTTAGAGACGGGATCCGACGGCTGCAGTTGCCTGGTCTCGAACAGATGCTTGAGTTTCGAGATGGGCAGATACCCTAGGAGAGATCTTGTATTTTCCGACAGAACCGTCAAATGCGAGTAGTCATGAGAAGAGGCCGACAGCATGGCTTCGGCCAGCGAGGTGCTGGGGGACGTGGACAAAGCAGGTGGAAGGTCTAGGTCGGCAACCGTGGCACCTCGATATTTATCAGCCCATGCCGACAGCTTTGCCGAGTGTTCATCTTCTACAGGAGGAACACCGTTAGCTTGAGGAACGATGGTCGGGCCCAGAGGGACACCATGCTCAAGGACGGATTCGTGTTCCATGGTAATGGGTCGAAGATGAACTCAAGAGGTTGTTTGAATCTCAAGACCGTGACCAGCCTAAGGTGAAGTTGCGTTGCGAACCACAAAATAATTGTTTCGGTGCATGAGGATCGAGGACCGCAGGCCGGCTGTTAGTCTGATTCCAGCCGGTGTTGGCATAGCCCCACCCCAAGCGTGGGATAGTAGGCCGCAAGAAGCGTGTTAACACATCGCCAATCCAATTAGTCGTCTAGCAACTTCCACAGCCACTGAAAGACGCGAGCGCTCGGCATGACGCCCTTAAGCCCGGATCGCAGCGGCGGTGGGAAGTGGGTTGCGGTGGGTTGCGATGGGCTGCGGTGGGCTGCTTCATTAATCGCTCAGTCAATCAGGGCGAGCGCTGGCCGTGTAGTGCGGAGAACAGAGACAGCCATCGGCATCATCCTCCCTCGCAGCAGCAGCGTGCAGTCAATCAGTACCTGGTAATCGCCGGCGCTGTGAGCTGTGACGATAGGAGCAGGAGCATTGCCAGTCCCTGTCCGAGACCTTCCCATGAAGCCCGACCTTGTTCCTTCTTACCTTCCAAAGTACCATCATTTCTATTTTATCTCCATCTCATCACTCTCTTCTCCAGCCCATTCCCCGTTCACGTTGCCCAGTTGATCTGGTCCCAACCGTCCATTCCTCTGCTGTAGTGTAGTCACCGTTCTTGACTCGAGGTAGGTACCAACTCTCTGCATGCGCAGGCATGTGGTGCTCTCGGAGATAGTGGGTGGTAAGCTGATGAGCTATTATGTGCAGCGCCATGGTCGGACTTGTCCCCAGCTCAAACACCATCTACCAGGCTTTCCTGCCTACCTCCCCCTACTACAAGCCAGCTGCGAAGCCAGTTGAGCATCCGCAGACGCGACCTATTTTCTCGACATGGAGTGCCACAGACACTGTCAAAGAAAAGGCGTCGGAATTGAGTCATGCAGCTCAAGCCGAGTATGAGAAGGCCAGCAAGAAAGCCCAAGCGAAGGCTGGAGGCATTGAATTGTATTCCGGGAAGTACTACGCAGCTTGTACTTTCGGAGGCCTGCTAGCTTGTGTATGTCCACATAGTGACCTGTTTTCGTCGAGCTCCAGTACTGAACGCGCTTCTAGGGTCTCACTCACACGGCTGTTACACCACTTGATCTTGTCAAGTGCCGTCGCCAAGTCGACCCCAACCTCTACAAGGGCAACTTCGAGGCTTGGAGACTGATCAACAGAGCGGAAGGTCTCCGTGGGATCTTCACCGGCTGGGGTCCCACGTTTGTTGGCTACTCGGTCCAGGGTGCTGGCAAGTACGGCTTCTACGAATACTTCAAACATCTCTACAGCCAGTTGGCTGGTGAAGAGAACGCCGAAAAATACAAGACTATTCTGTTTTTGTCTGCCTCCGCCTCGGCTGAATTCATCGCCGATGTTGGTCTTTGCCCATTCGAGGCTGTCAAAGTCCGCATGCAGACTACGATCCCGCCTACATTCACCGGCACTGTCCAAGGCCTCAGTTCCATCACGAGCAAGGAAGGAGTCGGCGGGTAAGTACTGGCATATGTGACTCCGGTGCAGCAAATGCTGACGTTCTTCAGTTTGTACAAGGGTCTGTACCCGCTATGGGGTAGACAAATCCCGTACACCATGATGAAATTCGCCTCATTCGAGAACATCGTAGCGGCTATCTACAACTATCTCCCCGGACAAAAGTCGGATTACAATAAGGGAGCCCAGACTGCTGTTGCCTTCGTCGGTGGTTACCTCGCCGGTATCCTTTGCGCCATTGTCTCGCACCCCGCAGACGTCATGGTCAGCAAACTGAATGCTGAACGTGCGCCCGGCGAGAGTTTCGGAGGCGCCATGAGCCGCATCTACAAGAAGATTGGATTCGGAGGACTGTGGAACGGCCTGCCTGTCAGAATTGTGAGTCCCCTCCACATACACTCGCCGCTTAGGGAACGCGCTAATACTTATTTCTCAGGTTATGATTGGAACCTTGACTGGTCTACAATGGATGATCTACGACTCTTTCAAGATCTTCATGGGCTTGCCAACCACTGGTGGTGGAGACAAGGACAAGAAGACCATCAAGACGTAAACAGTGTATACTATGCACTTTTGGACATGACGGCAAGACAAGGAGCTGGAATGGGAACAGAGTCTGTACTTGGAGTGGCCGATGGTTTCGAAACGCTGCAGACAACTTGCAGACCAAATCCCGACTTGCTTTTTACTAAAGTTGCTCCTGCTCATAAGTTCCCGCGCTAACTGCTTGCTAACTACCTGTGTAACATGTTATTTCCGTGCTCGTACAGCTCGAACAGTTCCTCGCTCCACGGAGTCATCCACGTGAAGATAGCAGATTGCAGATAGCACCGGGGATTGCCAGTGGCCATTGATAAGCAAGGCTGGCCGCTGCACTTTAGCTGGAGTTTCGCGAGTCTAATCACATTAGTGTTGATTAGCGGTCGCAGCTAGCCCGGCTTCAGGCGAATGAATGAGCGGCGATCAGACCACTACATGATAATAACTTGGGGTACATTTGCTTTTGTCACCGAGTGTTGTCATCGCATAGTCCCGCCTGAGATACATGTACTGTTGCGCCCGCGCTCTCATCTGCCTGTGCCATATCGAGACGGGCTATCACTGACGGTCTCTCCATCTGCACCTCCTCGTCTCTTCTCGCTTCCAATACATACCGTCCTCATAAGCCAGACCTGTTTGTTACTCGAGAGGCAGGGCTCGAATTCCACCAAATAGTGATCGCTGACCGCTTATCGCTGTCACCGTTCTAGTCAGCCTTATCAAAACCAGGTAAGGCATGCCCTCCTCTGCCCCGGTCCATTCCTCGTTCCTTGTATTTCGTGGTCTCTTCATCTGTCAGTGGATGTCCTAGAAACATTCCTATTATAATTGCGGGGGATTGACTGAGGCAATACTTCGAAAGTCTACGCACGGAAACAATCACACTGACTTGCTGAAGACTCGAAGTGTCCAATATGGCTGTCGTTTCTCACGGCCGCGGCGGTATGTTTCCCCAGACAAGCGCTGGGATGCGGCAGCTAACATTCGCAGGTGCCGCCAACATCGGGCCGGACGATACTCCCTATGTCGACGGAGAAATTGTTCGTGAGGGTCCCGTCGGCAATCAAGGCGATGGACCATATTCTTCAGGGCGGGGAGGCGCCGGCAACATTGACAGCGATGGCGAACATACCACCGGTGCACCTCATGATGCAGAGATCGTTCCCGAGCCAGCCATGCGGATCGCAAAAGAAGAGTCTCACCATGTTGGACGCGGAGGCGCCGGCAACGAGGCGCATGTGCACAAAGACAAGAAACATGAATCTCTCGCAGACAAGCTGAAGCACCTCTTCTTCAAGAAGAAGACATGAGCGGTTTGGAGCGGCTACCACCACTCGTTGCAGAAAAGTCGGCCTGCCGAGTTAGTAGTAAAGTGACGGATTTATGGATGATACCCAGCAATGAGTTGTTTCAGATTGTTGACGTTTGTGGCTCGACTACTAGTCGCCAGGATATAGAGGGCAGATTCGCTCCTCGGATATAGATTAATAATGCAGATGCTTGCTTTACAGTACCTCAGGCTGATTCTAGCGATTCAGCGCAATTTCTTCTGCTACCGACGAGGCATACCGTCACCATGCTTGCCATTGATACGTAGGTAGATACCTGGGATCTAACAATCGCCGCAGACACCCTCTCATGTAACAACCACACCCATCTAGGTGACGCCTAGTCAAAGGATGGCTCAACAGATGATACTACTGTATGCATTTGAAGAGCAAGCAATGTCATTTTGCCAGGATGCTAACAATGCTGCCCCTGCAGTGGTCATTTTTACAATAACAATAAGCGGTGGGCTGTTTCAAAAGCTCACAAACAATGGAAGACCCGCCTGTGGCATCGAAGGTTCTGAACTTCTGAACCCACGCGGCGTGGACCCCGGCCCTTTCCGGAGGCTTGGGAAGACAAAATTGCGCGCGGTTGACACGCTCGCAGGTCGTGTAAACACACTGCAGTAGTCGACATGATCCCAAATACACCAGGATCAGGCAAACACATGTCTCTTCCACTGCTTCCCGAGAAGCTGCTAACACGGTGACACGTTGCAGTGGCTTACGGGGATCCTGGGGGCATTGCCAGGGTGTGTGATTGAAGGAACGGCAGCTGCCTTTGGGCGCTGCCAGAGCAGGCTGCTGACAGTTGAAGCGCCGCCCACTGCCACTGCCAGCTGGCGTGCATCAACCGCGTCCATTGCAGCCATTCAAAAGTCGACCTACTAGAAGAGTGCGCCGAAACATTCTGATCAAGCCTCACTTCTCCAGTCTCCATCTGAGCTGTTCAATGCTGAAGGCTGCCAGCTTGTCCCCTGTACCAGCTTTGCCTTCAAATTTATCACTGTCCTCGAAGCGCCGGGCCGCTGCTCACGTCTTCAACTCGACTCACAACTGACAGTTCCACCCCGCGCGTCAAACTCCATCATCCCGGCTACACAATCTGATCGCGTTGTAAGCTGAATTATACTCGCAACAAATCCAATCCTTCAGGTTGTCCGGCGCGCGCGCGCGCTTTGCAGTCAGAACTCGACTTGAACACAGGCAGCTTCGTTACGGATCGCTCTCGTGGCTCCGATGGCCTCCGCATCAGACCCGACAGAACAGTACGTGACCAACATGCCGTTAACTCCGGGCGACAGCGAGAACGAAGCGCCCAGTGAGCCGTCTCAGATGGCGGGCCGCAAGCGCAGTGCAAGCGAGATGGAAGATGACTCGTCGAGAAGCAAGAGAACAAATACGGGCTCTGGCGCAGACACTGGCCTGGGCAGCAGTGCCAATGGTGCCAACACCGACACAAGTCCTGCGCCCGGTCCCGACGCTTCAGAGACCATTGAGGCCGAGTCTGGCGATGAGTTTACAGTGCAATGCCCTGCACGGCGGAAACACGGCAAGGCGGCAGCTACGGACGATGTGTACATTGAGCGAGATGCGCCCCCAGAGGCTCCCGATCTCAGCATCGAATTTGCTGTAAGGCCGGGCAAGAAGTGGGCAAGTCTGGACCGGTTCAGAAATGCCAAATGTGAGTCCAGAAACAGCAGCGCAGCAGCAGAAAGAACCGCCTTGCTGACCGTGTATTCGTCTGAACAGTTAAGAATCCTTTGGTTGTTGTCTACACCACGGGCCAGGTTGTTTATATCAACAGACACAACCCCGTCCCGCCACCGCCTCCGGCCGATGCGACCGATGGCGAGAAACTACAATACGACAAGGAGAACTTTTGGGTCGGTTTGATAGCCGAGTTTCGCGCCGAAAGCCACGCAAAGGTATACGCCCGAGTGTGGTGGTTCTACTGGCCGGAAGAGTTGCCCATGGGGCGACAACCTTATCATGGCAAGCAAGAGTTGATTCTGAGTAATTATACCGATATCATCGAGGCGCATGCGATTGCATGTCATGCCGAAGTCAGCTTCTGGGACGAGAACGATGATTCCAACCAGCTTGTCCTTCAGGAGCGATACTGGCGCCAGACCTTGGACGTGACCAAGCTCGGTCCCAAGCCCTCCAAATCCCTCAATGCCTTGAGCAAACTACGGACATTCTGCATTTGTGGAGGATATGACAACCCCAATGTGGAAATGTATCAGTGTCGTTCAGCGAGCTGCGGCATGTGGAATCATGATGCATGCTTGGTCAACGAGATCGAAAGACGGGCTTGGGAGCAGTTCAAAAAGGGGTCCCTGACGCATGAGGTTCAGGACAAGCAACAAGAGAAAGGGTTTACCCAGAAGGTAGGCGAAACTCTGGGTCATATTGTCCACTTGGGACGAGGGAAGAGCGAAGCCAAAGACGAAACCTATTCGAAGCCCATATCTGCCGCCAGAGGAGGGTCCGTCAAGAAGCACAAGGGCGGGAAGAACCCTTGGGCTGGGAAGTTGAAGGGCAAGATCATCAAGGTGCAGGACGACACGCATGCGGCTATTGTCACTCAACTTGTGCCCAACGCGGACAGCAAGCCGGGCCAGGGCCGGCCATTCGAGCCCCAGGTGTGGAACATGAAGATGTCGTGTCTGAAGTGCGAACAGCCACTGAATTGAGTGGATTGTCGAATGCCGCCCCGAGCGCCAATCTCTCAATAGCAAGTTGCAGTACTACCAGCTATTTGTTTTGGTTGCCTTTTGATTTCCTGGGTACCTGGATTTGGCAGGTTCAACTTTGAACATGTATATTAGCGTTGCACATGGGATTCAGTTGTTCGGCCGTTTCAGCAGGTTGTGTCCTGCAGACATACAGTATGTGGATGGGGGTGCATAGTTGAACGGAACTGTGATGATATGTGCAGTGAGGGTTTTTGAGGTGTATTACTTAGTAGTTAGAGGGAAGATGTTAATTCCTAGTGATGTGTCTCTGTATATGATTGCTCATGAAAAGTCCGCGTCTTGTCTCTGCGTTGCTGTCACAGGTGAGCCCGTGCCTTTGTCGTGTCTTCTGTTGACCTTTTAAAGTTGACTTCTCTCACTGCCAGGGATACCTACCTAGGTACATTATTGTATACTATGGACTCTCGGCTCGGCTCAAAGCAAACGAACCGGACCGAGTCACGTGGCAGGCTGGTCCAACAAAACACGGCTCGCGGCAATTCAGAGTTCGATCTCCCTGCAGCACTGGCACCCCCGGTTCGATTTGGACCGTAGTTGTGGCCGCCTACCGTTTTAACCGTGCCGTAATACTACCTAGGGATTACATGAAAATCTGCCACTGTGGAGGTGAGAGTCGATTCGGCCGGGCCCCAGGCTCGTGTTAGAACCGACGCGAGTAGGACCCGCCTTGGGGAAAATGCTTGGTCATCACCTTTAATTCGAGGTCGGTCGGTGCAAGGTCTCATCCACCGCATCGCGTGCTCGAGTCGGCCATACGGTGCAGCCACCTACAGCATAGCACAATCCAGCCGTCATCGATTACTCAGTACTCATCAGTGGCAGCTGCATGGCATCTACAACCCCTTCGAGTTCTTCTCACGGGCCACTACTACTACGCGGACTGCATTGTTGTACTTTTTACTTTTTGCTAGTCTCCAGGCTCCATTTTATTTATTACTATTGTATCTGCAGTGCCCGCATCTCGGGTCGGCAAGTCGTCGCATCAGCCGGATCAATTATGATTTTGTTTTTACTCCATGTCTACATTTTGACTTAAAAAGCATCGATCGCATACCTTTGTGCCTCAACCGCCAACAGTGACGACAACGCCACCTCACAATCTTACACTCCCTGTTACACTACGGGACTTTTTATTTCTTTATTTTGGCATTCTGGCATTCTGGCATGCTTTGTCGTCGTCTGTCTTGTTCCCTTGGTCCAGCATTGGGAGACGATTTAGCATATTGTTACGCCATTATATTATATTGCCGAGGTTGAGGACTGTTTGTTCCTCGTTGCGGTGGCATTGTGTCCCTTGACTCAGGACAGTGGACTTTGACTCAACGCGTCAGTTGGAAAGAGTTGTTGAAGGGATTGTGCGAGCCCGCACTAAAGGGAAACAAGACTTCGCTGGTCCTTGCAGTTGTTCATACTTTGCATCGCATCTGAAAGAGGCAGTTTGTACTCATCAAAATGCCAGACCAAGCGGAGGAAACGCTAGGGGCAGCGGCCGAGGGCCTACAAGCCGAGGAAAATATGCCTTCAGCAGAACGCGAAGGCCAGACAACAACAAACTCGACAGTCCCCAAGAACACACCCTCGTCTCCTACCGAGAGCAACAACGGGGCATCTGACAAGTCGTCCGACAAGGAGGAAAACGTGCCAGTGTCGCCGATGGAAGAAACATCACCTCCACCCGAGAAACACGACCGACCGGACCTCGCGCGAACAGAGTCACGAGCCGACAAGTTCTCCAAGGGACGGATATTCATCGTCATGTTTTCTCTAGGCATGGCACTATTTCTGGCAGCGTTGGACGTCACCATCATCACGACGGCACTGCCCACCATCGCAGACCATTTCCAAGCCAGCGCGGCAGGATACACATGGGTGGGTAGCGCATACTTGTTAGCAAACGCCGCGAGCGTGCCTCTCTGGGGTAAAATCTCAGACATATGGGGCCGCAAGCCGATCATCATGCTTGCGAACGTGATTTTTCTCGCAGGCAGTCTGATCGCCGCGTTGAGTACCTCGATCGGCATGCTGATTGGGGCACGAGTGATTCAAGGTATTGGCGGAGGCGGGCTCGTGATTCTCGTCAACATCTGCATTGCAGATCTGTTCAGCATGCGCGACCGGCCCAAGTACTACGGGTTCATGGGCATGGTGTGGGCAATCGCATCGGCGCTGGGCCCCGTGGTAGGCGGAGCATTTACCGAAGGTGTATCATGGCGATGGTGCTTCTACATCAACCTTCCACTCGACGGCGTGTCGTTGATCCTGCTTACTTTCTTCCTCAAGCTCGACACGCCCAAGACACCCTTCTGGGCGGGCATCCAAGCCATTGACTGGATCGGGGTGATTACTATTGTCGGCGGCGTCGTCATGTTTTTACTCGGTATGGAATCCGGCGGCGTCACTCACCCCTGGGACAGCGCATATACCTTGTGCTTGATCATCTTTGGAATCGTGACGCTAGGTCTGTTCCTGGTGAATGAGTGGAAATTCGCAAAATATCCAATCATCCCACTCCGCCTGTTTCGGGACCGGTCGAACCTGGCATCTTTGGGCGTGTGTTTCGTCCACGGGTTTGTGTTTATCGCCAGCTCGTATTATTTGCCCGTCTACTTCCAGACGGTGCTGGACGCGACCCCGATCCTCAGCGGAGTGTATCTGTTTGCATTGGTGTTGAGTCTGTCGTTCGCCTCGGCGTCCGTGGGCATCGTCATCAAAAAGACAGGCCGGTACCGCGAACCCATTTGGTTTGGCCTGGTCATGATGACTCTCGGGTATGGACTGTTCATCGACCTCGAGCCGCGCGCCAACTGGGCGAAAATCATCATTTACCAGATCGTCGCGGGTGTGGGCGTCGGCCCGAATTTTCAGAGTCCTCTGATCGCCCTGCAGAGCCATGTCAAGGGCCACGACATCGCCGTCGCCACGGCACTGTTCGGCTTCGTCCGCAACCTGTCTACTTCGGTCTCGGTCGTGTTGGGCGGTGTGGTCGTCAACAACGAACTCGCGAAGAAATATTCAGGGTTGCGCAAAGTCCTTCCCCCGGCCGACGCTGCCCGGTTGACGAGTTCCAGCTTCGGCTCGACCACGTCTTTTGTCCGCTCCCTCCACGGTGTGCAGAAGCAGGCCGTTAACGAGGCTTATACGTCGAGTCTGAGGTCTATGTGGATCTTCTATACTGCCTTTTCGGCCTTTGGGATTTTTGTCTCGCTGTTCATCACACGCAAGGAACTTAGTCGCACGCATGAAAAGGCCCGCACTGGCATCGAGGAGCAGGAGCGGATCCGTCGGCAAGAGGATGCGGAACGGAAGGCCCGGCGGTCAAAAGGAGCCACAGCGGATCTTGACACCGAGAGAGGTGTTTGAGGCGCATCTGGTTACTTGTGCTACTTAGCATAGTCTTGCGTCTTTGGTTCTAATCGTGGCCCTCATATCCTGGGATTCATATGTACGATAGATTGGGTACTATGGCGCCAAAAGAATCACCAAGTCAAAAGTGCAAGTTATCAATTCAAACAACATTGTGTTCGTGGTGTGGTATTCTCGACGTCGACACCCTTGCACCCACGCTTTCTGCATTGGATGTTCCCAAACGGTGCGGATGGCATGCTATCATGGGACGTCCCACGGCCGCTTAAGAACTTCTGTCCAGTAGTACAACCAGCAAATACTGTGCCTCCTAGTAAGCAGGTAACAGGTTACAAGTGCGCAAAAGGTGTCAAATACACTGCGTCGGCGGATTGATGAGAATAAACAAACATCAGTGCGGTAACTAATATTGGTAGTACATAAGGGCAATGCTCTACAAAGTCGTCACCGCCCTCAAAAACGAGGCCTTCCATGACAGATGCCTCTGCTACCTGTATCCATGGCTTCATGTATGCGCCATCTTTGGCGCTTGGAACGAAGTTAATTTTTTTGAGCGGTTCCCTTTTCGCTGCTGTTGGTTTGTCCAGCTGCTGCATGGACTGGAAGCCTTCTTCGAGGGCCGTCTCTGACCACCTATGTCTGCGCGGAATTTTGGATTGTTTCTGTCTTGAGGACAGGTCTAGGAAGAAGTCTGTTGTCCCATTCCACCGGGAGGGAAGGTAAATTCCATCGAGGCGGCTCATTCCTTGTTGTGGTGACAGCTGTACTGTGCTGTGCTGTGGCGCGGGCCGTGCTTTGGAGGGACCAGTGCAATCTGGCTTGTTGGGAACGGGGTTGATTCGCCTCATGTGTAGGAGTAGGGTCGAGCAAGAAGAGACCAATGTCCACGCGCTGGAGTGGAAAGCCGTTCAGTTCACACAAACCGGTGGCCCCGGATGACCAAGCTAGATCGTAAGCTGCGAATCGCGCTTGATTTCAACGATCATTGATGTCCAGGTAGAACGGCGTCTGTAGATGCTGGTACAAAAGCCCGAACAGTTCGTCGACATGGCAAACCGCCATGATACTCGCGCTTCATGTATGTTTTCCCCGGTGGACCCATCGTTTGTGTCGAAGAAAGTGTCGCTGTTGATTGCTCTTGAAGCAAGATGACATGTTTGGTGATGGTATGTGAAATTGCAAGGTGTATGTTCCAGGCTCATCTTCTTTCCCGCTTGCTCCTCCATCTTCCTCCCTTAGCACCCCTGCCACCTTTCCAGCCAAAGTCTTTGCGTGATTCTTCCTCCTTCCTTTCCAGCTCTGCCAGTCTCTCCCGCCTTTGCGCGTCGCCTCCTTTGTCTCCGGCTGGGCCGCTGCTCTTCAGGTGGACACCGTGTTTGCAGTTGGGACCGTCTGGACAAAACCCGGCGAGGTAGAACTCGCACAATTTCCTCCTCACGTGTCTCTTGCCGCACCTGGGTCCTTTCTCACAGAATCCCCGATTGTAGTCTTCACAGAGGGGCAATTTCGAATCCTCCTTGACATGAACATATAGACACTCGTCACCATTCTGGCAATACCCGTTCTGGTTGAAGAATTGACACTCGCTCATCTTGCGGAGATTGTATTCGTGGAGGTAGTCGCATGTGTCGCCCTTCTTGCATAGACCTTTGAGCCAGTGCTTGCACACGTAGTTATCGTTGTTGCGGCCATAGTGATGCTGGGGCGGCTCGCCCGGTGTAGGATGACGGTCGGGGCATCGACGTCCGCGGGGACAATGGCCCGTCGCAGCGTAGTCTGCGCATACAGGTACCGTAGAAGCAAGAGCGGCGAGTCCGTTCGCACGGAGGAAAGGGGTGAAGCTGAAGTTGTACGTGGGATAAGCGGGTTTGGACTGGTTCTGGTTCGCCTCGCCGGCCGTCTCGGTGCTGGTCGTCACGACCGATGCCATTGTTGCCGCTTGTCAATTTCGACCGGTACCATAAGGACTAGGAAGTGTAATACGGTTTCCAGCCTACGAGTATTTCATCAAGTATTGTGGTACATATGAAGGAGATTCACCTGATGGCAGTGGTTGTGGACGATGTCTGATGTCCTAGACACGAACCGTTGTTGGACACATCTGGAAACTTCCGAAGTTAAGCCGGGCGGTGGTGACACAAATATTACATAAGCAGCTGGCTGACAAACTAATTTTGGTCACGTGCTTTGACCCTGCGCCAGACCCGTTGTGGGAATCTGTGGACCTTGTACAATGTAGACTGTAGTATTTTACTGGGCTTCTTCATGAGATGACAGATTCCACTGAGCGCTGTAATGTTTCGGATATACAGTACGATTGATCAAATGAAAAGAAGTGCTACGCACCGCGCTCTCCGACTCTCTGTAAGGAGCATTGCCGGTTAAACGTTCTCGCATGTGGAACCACTACTACTAGTAGACGGGCTGTCATTGTTGTTGCTACCTATACCATCCGATTCTGCCTTCACCTACAATGTACGCTTTCAACGGCCGGGAGTATCATATACATGACTGGAGACAACGCTGTAGTAGTGGGTAGCTCGATCCTATCCTCTCCGTGCTTCTTCCGTCTCTCCGTCCTTTACACGGCAATTGATGATACCCGGAAGAATATACCCAAAAGGTGCCTTACGGTATTGTGCGGGGCAGCCATTGTCCCTCCTCCTCTCCTCATCTTTCTTCCCCACGTCATTTTCCGCGTCTTCAAGTTGTCGAGGACAACAAATACTTTCTTCCATCACTCCTGTCCTTGCTGTTTGTTCATTATCCCGCGTCCTAAGGCCACGTTTAGACAAAATACTGGTAATCATACAAGATGTCGGTCACAACCCTTGCAACGATTGCCTCCTTCGGCGGCAAGCTGCTGAAGCTGTCTCACAAAGCCTCCACGACGGGCTGTGAAATGAAATTCAACCTGTACCTGCCTCCGCAAGCCACGACCAACTCTCTCCATAAAGTTCCGCTGTTCATCTGGCTGTCCGGCCTCACATGTACCGCCGATAACTGTTCGGAGAAGGGCTTTTTCCAGCACGGGGCCAGCAAGAAAGGGATTGCCATTCTATATCCCGACACCAGTCCACGTACGTCCACAGCTTGTTAGTCAAAATCGATCCTGCTAGCTAACACATTTGTACAGGCGGCGTTGGAATCCAAGGCGAAGATGACTCCTGGGATTTTGGCACCGGGGCCGGCTTCTACGTCGACGCCACTGCATCGCCATGGTCCAACAACTACAAGATGTACTCGTACATCACCGAGGAGCTTCCCAAGACCGTCTTTGAAAATTTTGACCAGATCGACTCTAGTCGAGTCAGTATCAGTGGCCATAGTATGGGTGGCCATGGCGCCCTGTCGTTATACCTGAAAAATCCCGGCAAATACAAGAGTGTCAGCGCGTTCGCCCCGATCGCCAACCCGCTCAAATGCCCTTGGGGAGAGAAGGCGTTCAAGGGCTACTTTGGCGAGAGTGACTGGCAGAAAAAGGGTGCTCAGCATGACTCAACGGAGCTTCTGAAGCAGTGGAAAGGTGGTGATTTGGATATCCTCATTGATGTGGTAAGTAGCACACCAACCACCAATATTCGGCCCGACATGGCAGCTTTGATATCAGGGTACTGATTGATTGCGCGTTACCATCTCGCAGGGCACTGGCGACAACTTCTACAAACAGGGACAACTTCTCCCCGAAAACTTTATCGCAGCTGCAAAGGAGATTGGCCAAGAGAAGGGAGTCAAGGTTCGATTCCAGCCAGATTATGACCATAGTTACTACACCATGGCCACCTTCAGCGACGACCACATCAACCATGCCGCCAAGTACTTGTTTGCATAGTATGTTGTTTGTGGCGAGCTGACGATATAGACATATCCAGCTAACAAGGATAGAAGTGGAGCACAAAAGCATCCCAAACTTTGAATACACTATCACTTTGTCAATCATTCGAGTACCTTTGCTCGGGTTCCCATTTTTGTGTCACAGTTCTGTCACTGTATTCGGAATTGGCGACATGTTGGCCTCTTGGGTTCTCGGTGATTTCTCCCATCATTGTCTGTCAACTTTGACCCACTGTACAAATCATCCCCCACATTGTGATGACAGCCAGCTGATGTCCCGGACCACTGTACAATGCCCCGAACCCTCCGTCAAGCAATCATCTTTTGATGCAATGACCGCAGAAACCTTATTCGGCATGATTGACTTCCATCTTGGGCACGTGACAAGGCTGACGCCCTACAATACTGACAACAGCAATGATCTCTGTACCAGACCTTTTACTGGTCCTGCTATTGTACAGAATCCATAACAAGAACTGGAAAGGCACGTATACGGTACTAATGTCCTGCAGAACGCACCCCTCATCTTTTCCCTTTCTTGGCTACCATGTCTGCCTGTACAGGCCCGGTAAGGAGTGAAGACCAGGATTCGTGACTGACTGACTGACATACTTGCCTGCCTCACTGCCTCGACACTTATCTCAATGGGTTTGTCATAACTGGAATCTCTTGGCGCGGTGACAGTGACGGACAAGCAAGCAGGAGAATCGCAAGGGACAACACTTCACAACGCCGTACCATGGAACGCAGCATCTTCCTTCAGATGATCTATAAAAATCCTATGCTGTCCGGACAACAGAGAACGTGAAGGAGCTGTCCCCTTTTCACTTTTTCAAACATAGACACACGACAGTTTTCTTTCCTCTTCTCTTGCTCCAAAACAAAGTTAACAAGGAACCGATCAGAACGCCTTCCCCGGGAGATTTATTTGTATGTTATCGTCCGTCGATACCTATCGATCATATACTCGCACAGCAGGAACAACAGGCCTGCCTGCTCCTGGCTCGGTCATCGCAGAGCTCTGCTGTTGGCGACAATGGCCAAGGACAATGGCGGCGAGGAGATTGAGCTGAGGTCACTGCTCGAACTAGTGACAGACTCGCAGCCTATACCTGGGCCTTGCAACCGACCACCATGGGTGATGGGGGATAGCAACCCATACGGCGTCATCGGTCAGAAAAAGACACACGCACGTGTGACGCCAGTGGCCGTCCCGGTTCTCCCCTTGAACTCAGAATTAGCGAAAGACTCCTCGCAGCCATTTCGCGGTCAAGAGGCAGCGGCAACTCCAGAAGCTCTGAATCGTTCTTATCGCCTGCCAGTGTTTGGATCCATGCCACCACCACCGGAACCACTATTATCTTCTCCTGAGCTTCCCTCATCAAATTATGCAATCAATGGCAGCGGCATGCTCAGTCCGAATCCGGTCACGCCGAGCCCAACGTCAACTGCCGCTGCTGAGAACCGTCAACGACCAGTGACTTTCCCTATCACCCCGCCATCGACCGTTAAGTATCCTCATGTTGCGGCCCCTACTCGACTTTCCACTATAGCCGAGTGTGACACGGACGACGAGCGGACACCGCCCCGAGGACGTGCCGCGGGTGCCACGGCAACATTAATATCTTGCCTAACTCCAGCGACCACTCCGGTCGCGACCCCAATTCCAAAGGTAGCGAACGGGCAGGTTGTCTCGGAAGCAGACAGAAGCGTGAGGGTGGCCCTTTTCCAAGAGCAAGTGACTCGGGCGAGGCTGAAACGGGAGAAAGTGTCCAAGGGCAAGGAGGGTGCTGCAGCTGAGTAGTGCTGTAGGGATACATCCCTGTGATTGCCAACAGTTCATGGCAGCAACGATGGGTCTAAAGAACGAAACTGGGCCCAAGGTCAAGAAGGGACGGTGGCTGTGGAGGGCGACAGCATGGCAGAGAGTTGGTGCGGTATTGCGGGGATGGATGAATGCCAGTGTGCTATGCAAACAAGGAAAAGGGCTGATGAAGATGGAAGGCGTCTGGAATGGGCCTACCTAGACCAAAAAGCTTGAATGCGGTAGCGGTTGGCACCGTGACTGCTGTGGACTGACTCCATCCAATGTGAGGTGGATGGCACAAGGATTTACATTGTAAATCACAGACCATGTCTTTCCAAAGAGAACATTCCCACCTAGCTCTTCAACGACTACTCGTGTTTGTGAAAGGCAGCAGATCGTAGAAACTGTTCCAGTCCTCCAAGACATGACCGATACTGAAATGTGTCCATCATATGCCCAAGGATAGCGACATGAGGAACAGCACCGGACCATAGTCCCAAAAATCCATTGCCACTCAAGACACCATTCTACCGCTGAAAATAGATTTGCAAACCAGCCTTCTAGGAGTGAAGTTGTGAAGGATAAAGTTGAAGTTGAAATTGAAACTGCGTCATGACGACAGCTGTGGCCCACCGTAATGCGTAATTGATGCCAAGGCCGACGTTTTTCACGCTGCGCTGCACTGCGACGTCGACGGCGGGTCGGCCACTTGACACTACACAGATTTGGGCCTGCAACTTGAACCACCCACTGCACGCACCCGTTGCATCTGCTTACCACTGCACTGAATCCCTTAACACCCGACTCTACAATATCGCGACTGCGCCTGGTCAACCAGCAATTGCTCTCAAACTTGATCGTCAGGGTGTCCCCGTGTGTCGCTATGGAATAACTCCGGGAGCACGTGCTTCCACTTTCGTCACGGCCAAATGCGGTGACTATATCATTCTACCAGTGTTCCGGAAATCATTAGGTGGGTTAGGAACACTGGCGTTACCTGATGGAGGACCAGGTCAGTGATCCTTACTCTCCGATGAGTTGCCTCTCACTCTAATATAACATGGTAGATCATCTCGGCGATTCAAATCGCTTATGAGCCCTCCGCGGACCCTGCTCTCAAACGACAGGCTTTCGACTATGTCAATCAGTTGAGACAAGAACCCTCGGCATGGCAGCCTTGCCTGGCCATCTCCCTTCGTTCTCCTCGCCAACCTACCGTCATTCGAGTTTTCTGCCTCGAAATTGTCAATAATGCCGTTCAAGCAGGCTTGGTGGATCCGCAAGGGTTGAAAGGGATCAAAGAAGAGCTTATGGCATATTTGCAGAAGTCTTACGGTGCTAGCGGACAAGATTCCACTCCAGATCCTGGAACGATTGTCAACAAGTTTGCTCAGACCATCACGTTCCTCTTTTCCGCCTTCTACGGTTCAGGGTGGGAGAGTTGTTTCGATGATTTATTGGCTCTTACTGCGACTCCATCAGGCTCCAGGAACAACTATGCTGGCGTGATTTTCTATCTGACAGTGCTGAACTCCATCCATGACGAAATCGGCGACCAGCTCCTTTCCAGATCCCGGGCTGAGCAGGACCGTGCCAATACCTTGAAGGACCTTATCCGTCAAAGGGACGTTCAGAAGATTGCACATTCATGGGAGGAGATTTTAGCACAATGGAGAACTACTAATGACGTCGTGGCGGAGCTGTGTCTGAAAGCCATTGGCAAGTGGGTTAGTTGGGTCGACATCTCGTTCGTCGTCAATCAACAGATGCTTGAGTTGCTCTTCCAGCAGTTGGAGCGAGCTCAGAAAGTCAATCTGCGCCCAGGCGAAGAACAAGCCCGAGATGCTGCTATCGACGTTTTTACGGAAACCGTGGCCAAGAAGATGCCTCCCGCAGACAAGATCAACGTGATAACTTTTCTCAATCTCGAAACAGTGGTTTCTCAGCTGGTTGCATGTCCGCCGCTGAGCGACAGCCGTGCTTCAAGTTATGACGTTGATCTGGCGGAAACCATTGCGAAGCTAGTCAACACCACGGTTGTTGATATAGTCAAAATTTTGGAAAGCGAAAATCAAGCCTCTCCGTCCTGGGCGAAGGCAGAGCAGCTTCTGGTTGCGTTCTTGCCACATTTGCTCAGATTCTTCTCGGACATTTTCGACGAAGTTTGTTCCACTGTCCTTAATGCAATGAACGATGTGCTCGCATTCCTCCGCCGCACGAGCCAAGGCGAGGCGGCGTCAGCCCAAAGAGCCACGATGCTCCTGCCTATTCTCAAGGCCATTTTCGCAAAAATGCGGTATGACGACACCGCAGACTGGGGCCAGGAGGACGATCAAACCGACGAGGCAGAGTTTCAAGACCTTCGGAAGCGACTGGCCGCTTTGCAATCTTCCATTGCTGCCGCGGACGAGCAACTCTATATTGAGGCAATCTCAGCCCTGGTTCACGATACATTCCAGAAATTGAGAACGGAAGGATCACAACTCAATTGGCGAGATCTGGATCTTGCACTGTACGAGGTGTACTTGATGGGCGACCTGGCAGTCAAAGCAGGCGGTCTCTACCAAAAGAATAAACCCAACTCTCCTGCCGCAGAAAAGCTCATTCGCATGATGCTTGAGATGGTGCAGTCTGGTAAGTTATTTATTGTCTCTCAAGCGAATTATGATCTGACCATATGCAGACACCGGTTCGTATAATCATCCTGCTATTCAGATACAGTATATGGAAACCTGTGTCCGATACAGCGCCTTTTTTGAAAAGCACGTTGAATACATCCGGCCGGTGCTGCAGAACTTCCTACAACTGGCCCACCACCCGAGTTTGAAGGTCAAGGCACGAGCATGGTACCTGGTCCAGAGGTTCATTCGACAGCTCCGTACGCATATTGGGGATGCTGCGGAAGCCGTCGTGCAGAGCTTGCAGGATCTGCTTGTCGTCCGCGCCGAGCTTCCGAATGAGTCCGATGGCGACGATATGTCTTCAGATGGTGACTCGACGTCTGACTCGACATTCACCAGCCAACTCTATTTATTCGAAGCTGTGGGCTGTGTATGTGGCTCCCCTTCTCTCTCGGCCGAGAAGCAAGTTCAGTATGTACAGGCGATTATGCAGCCAATCTTCTCCGACATCGAGCGCAACCTAGAATCGGCACGGGCGGGCAATGAGCTTGCCAGCCTTCAAGTCCACCATGATATTATGGCCTTGGGCACATTGGCTCGAGGCTTCTCCGATTTCCTTCCCGGCAACACTGCGCAAAGCAGCGGGGCGGAGCCGGCGCCGCAAGTCAAACAAGCATTTGCACAAGTGGCAGAAGTCACACTTGTTTCTTTGACCGCCCTCAAATCATCCTTTCAGATTAGAACTGCCGCGAGATTTGCCTTTTCTCGGCTGATCGGCATGGTCGGCGCCCAAATGCTCCAACAACTTCCTCAGTGGGTGGAAGGGCTCCTGACTGAATCCTCTTCACGGGATGAAATGGCCCTATTTCTTCGTCTTCTTGACCAGATTATCTTTGGCTTCAAGAACGACATTTTTAACTTCCTCGACCAGTTGTTTTCCGGACTACTCCAACGCGTGTTTGCCGGGATAGCAGCAACGACTTCTGGCACCGATGACGAGATTGAACTTGCCGAGTTGAAGCGAGAGTACCTCAACTTCCTGCTTGTCATACTAGGAAATGATCTCGGCGGGGTTCTAGTCAGCGGTACCAACCAACCGATTTTCGAATCCGTCATCAACTCTGTCGAACATCTTGCGAGAGATGTGGAGGATTTCCCTTCCGCAAAGATGGCGTTCATACTTTTATCACGAATGTGCACTGTTTGGGGTGGTCCAGATGTGGTTTCCGCCAACGGTCAAGCAAACGCCAACACGCCAGTACCGCAGCCAGCTCTTCCTGGGTTCGATCAGTTCATGATCACCCGATTTTCGCCTCTCTGTTGGGCGCTTCCGACAAATCCTGCCTTCAACAGTAAAGACGCACAAGCTCGGCAAGCTCTTGCCGAAGCCGGCGGCTTGCAAAAGACCATCTACACCAAGACTGGCCAACAATATCTGACATGGTTGCAGGAGAAAGAGTTGCGAACCATGGGCATGAACGACAATCTGATCAATGAGTATTTGCAGAAACTGGCCACCATGGAACCGAAGGCATTTAAGACATTCTTCCCAAAGTTCATCGCTCAGGGAGGTCAAATTTGAAAAGCAATGGCGCCAAAAAAGAAGATAAAAAAGCGTGTGACACGGACTGACGTGGACTGGATGACGTGCATATGATACCAAGGACTCGCGTGGATTGTGTAATGTATAAGGGATTCATAGCCTCGAATGATGGATGGCTATTTTAAGACCTAGACAGAGAATTAACTGCTCGCAAGATACAAGTGACCAAGTACTGACATTGTACTGGCATGGCTAAGGCGTTTGGTGCAGTACATTAGAAGTAGTTCTGCTTACAGTGTACTGTACAGTGGTAGATGTGGCTCTGTCCACACAAGGCTGCGCAGAAGCCTTGTTCAGTTTTGTATGACGAAATCAGCCACTCACAGCGCTCCCACACTATGCCAAGCCATATTTATGCCAAGGCACGGCAAACCTTCCCATCACTGCCAGCCCACATTCGGCCATCCAAATTCCAGGACTTTGTGAACCGACCATCTGCGACAGGCACAGTTCGATAAAGATCAACCGCACGTTAGGTCACTCACACCGTCAAGATGGCCAGTAAGTTGCTCTGCCGATATATCAGGTGGAGGAGCTGGTGAAACTGACAGTGAGCAGAATCCAAGAACTCGTCTCAGCACAACCAGTCCAAGAAGGCTCACAAGAACGGGTACGGGCGTCCATTCCATCCTCAGAGTCGTGCGCAGGTCGCTGGCCGGATTTCGCACGGAAAGAACGGACGTGAGACTAACATAGATTTCACCTACAGCATCAAGAAGCCGAAGACTCACAGATATCCGTCGCTGAAGGGTACGGACCCCAAGTTCCGAAGAAACCACAGACATGCGCTGCACGGAACCATGAAGGCCCTGAAGGAGGTCAAGGAGGGCAAGAGAGACTCGGCATAGATTTCGACAAGTTCATGCGTATGAAAATGTTCTGAAATGGGGGGTGTGGTTGCGAGCGAACCGAGCAGCAAAGTCGACGATTTTTCTTCCTTCGCCAGGCGCCCATCTCAGCTCGGACGGATCGATCGGTTCACTTGTTACGACGACGAGATGAGAAACTTTTGAGGAGCTCTGGGATGAGGGAAGCGCCGGCCGTCCACTTAGCTAGCTAGTCAGCCAGCCGGCTGGGCAGCAAATCTGCGAAGCCTCGAAACGACAGTGTGCCTCGAGCTAGGCCAGGCCAAGTGCGGATATCCAAACATTGAAAAAAAGAATCAGAACCCGACCCATCAGCCTCCCAGCCTGTCTGCAATTGCGTTGCCTTGGTTTGCCTCTGTCTTGCCGGATTTCTTTTGTCTATTGTCTGTCTGTCGCATACATGGTTTTCTGGAAAGGGAGGACTTCTCCTTCCGGACACCCAACCCCCGGCCCCTTTATGTTTCTTCTCCATTCAATGGCATTAGTGTGTACAGCGTCGTGTCGCTTTGCCTCGATGCGCGACGTCTGAAGGAATCATTCTTTGACGTGCCTATATGAAAAACACAACCACCTTCCAATTACCAAACACTTTCCTTCTCAACCCCGTGGAGGCTGGTGCATGGACGGAAGGGGACAATTCCTGTTTTTTTTCCTTTCTTTTTCTCTTAAACATTCGCTTTTACTACTGGGTTATCTTCACACCAAGAGCTGGTTCTGAGGAAGTGCCATTCTACTCCTCGCCTGACCAAAAGTTACTGTACTCAATGCCACTGAGCAGGTTGATGATACATACCTACCCAGGTGAATCATATATATACATCGGTATACCTAGGTAAAGTCTCAAGGCTCAGATATCCCACAGGCGGCGTGTTTGCTGGCCCGGCAAATCCCAACTAAGGTACAGTCCGTACTACAGTATTAGTTCCAGCATGCGACTCTTTCCCAGGTCTTACTTTTCCCGTCCTCGCCAAAACGCATTTCCCTTCCACGAGCATTGTCCTGGCAAGTATATTGACCCCATGCTGGATGCGCTAGCCATGTCCTTTTATTTTCAGCTCTCCATGCAATGTATCTCGTGCAAGCCGGTCGGCCAGTGCTGCTATTCTTTTCGTGGTGCCCTGGATGGCAGTGCCAGCAGGCATCTTGAACGAAAGAGGGAAAACAGATAGATAGATGGCTCTAGTCCTCAAAAAAGACCTCCTGACGATTCCCATCCCCCAAGAATATGCACAATGTGGCAGCTGCGGGACACACACACCTTGTTTTCAATATATTCCTTATTCTTTGTCCCCGAATCTACTCTACTCATCGTCCTCTCGCACATGGGTAAATGGGGGATATACATACATACCTTATCTCACGACAAAGGACCGGGTTGCATTGCCGTAGTGCACAGTACCTACCTAGTCGATATCGACAGGCGATTCGAGAAAAGACAACTGAAGTTGACTACCTACTAGTATCCTACTAGTATGGTAAGTACTGTACCTGCTGTACGTACAGTAGATACTACTCTACCAGGTAGGTAGTAGTTAGATCATCAGGCATGTTACTTCTGTACAGTACCATCGACTGCAGTGGCAACTACAGCCAAAGGAGGTAACTTCGAGTTCAAATTTGTTCAATAGAACCGAAGACTCATCAGTAACAACGCCATTATATTTACGCATCTACCTAGTAATCAATGTACACTAATATTACATTACTATCATTCATGGTGTGAACCAGATACCTAGGTGGTCGGGTAAGGCGGTGAGCTAGGTACCTATCGTGTAGATACCTCCCATTGTGCCTCCTCCACCTCCACACACGGCCTAGGTAGCTGATACTTTGTTTTCGTAAACTTCATGTCAGGTTCAAGAGTCGCGGTTGATGGAACAAACAACAAACTCCTGCTGATCGTCCGCAGGGGAAACCCAACGCCATTCCAATCGTAGAAACCTGGTCTCCAGAGCGGCAAACTTGCGAGGAAGCGCCGGTCATGGTAGGGCCGAGGGGCATTGCATTGGATCCTGCCAATGTTTCTTCGGCCGGTTGTTTTCTCCAGAGCCCAGTTCGTGCAACAGGATAATCATACATCAAAAAGATAAGACAAGGCGGACGTGCGGCAAAAGCTAATAACGGAGGAATCTCTCGAGAATAATAGGATTTGGCTTCTGTCCTGGAGCTGTCAGAAGCGGCGGACGTTGCAGCCGGGCTGCTTTTTGATCAACACTTTGCCTCGCCCAAGGTCTGCAGATTCCGTACATGTCCGCGGACGAGATGGTCCACGGGTTCTGTTGGGGTCTTCAGGATCAAAGTTCGACTCCGACCCCTCTTAACACGTGCAATAATACTAGGTATTGCGGGCACGAACGCGTAAAGATAGGCAGAGTTTGAGGCTGGATGTGGTACCGCATCCTATTATCCGCGGCAAGCCGCAATGCATGCAGGTCGGGCTCGCATTCCTTCTGGCTGCAGAAGGAATACAATTGCAACCAACCAAAGGTGCATACAGGGACGAGAGGGCTTGGAGAGGTTGGCGCCAGTGCCACTGTTACTGCTGCAGGTAGTGGTGTAGCGGATTCAAGGCACTGACCGCCGCCCATGCTCGGTTGATTTTTCCATGAGGCTTCAGCTGGACTCCTCATCAGATTCCGGCTGCGTTGCCAATAGCACCGCCACATGCTGCGGGGAAAATAGACCTCGCCAGAATATTGATGGGTCTTTTGACCCCGCCATTGACCGCCTGGTCACCAGTTTTGGGGCGACCGTGCGCCCATATTTCGAGTGATTGATTGATTGATCCATGCTTGGTCTCTGCACTGCAAAGACAAACAGACACCTTGTCCTCCTGCAAACGAAAACAAAAAACTTCAGAGGGGTATCTTTTCTGTTCAAAGTCAAGCTTCCAGACCGGCTAAAGACGGATCTCCTGTGTCATTGTTCCAATCCGGAACTTGTGGAAGCAAAATTAAGCATATAGATTCCTTGGCTGGAAGTAATAATATGGTATGGCTCAGTCCGCTGCGCCGCTTCAGTCCGCCTGTACCGGAATGGGAAGTGGAGTGGTCACCTCAAACTCTGCAGGACGGTCGAAATCCGGTAGTGGCGGGTTTAGTAGTTGATCTGGAGTCGCAGTCGACAAGAAATTGTCCGGCAAGGCAGGAAGCTCAGGGAAGTTCAACGGAGGAAATTCACCAAAAGTCTGAGTAGGCATGGTCAACGGTTGGCTGAACAGGTCATTGCCCAGCTGACTGAGATGGGCCTGGATTTCCTCTGGAGCTTTGCAGCCTTCGCAACTGGCGTGTGCAAAGAGGATGGCATTCATCTGTTGAATTTCATCTTTCATCCGCATCACTTGGTCTTTGAGGTACGCGTTCTGCACAGCCTTCTCGTGCGAATCCCGCTGCAGCTTTTCCGTCTTCTCCTTCTTATTGATGCGACACTTGGCGGCGGCCAACCGGTTCTTCTCTAGTGACTGCTTTCTCTTCTGCTCCTCGGGCGAATCACCCAATTCACTGGCAGCGGTAGAAGCTTTGCGAGGAGCTTTTCGCTTCCGCCCGGATGTAGAGGTGGTCGTAGTAGTATTAGCAGCAGCAGAAGTTGTATCATTGGAAGTGGTAGTGGCAGTTGATTCGTCGGCTGCCGGCGTCGAAGAGACCGGCTCTGAGTCCTTCGATGATGACTTTTTCCGCTTGCGGCTTTCTGGGACGGTTGCCTTGGGAGATAACTTGCCATCGGAAGCCGAGTCGGTGCTTGCGGCTGAGTTAGAGCGAGGCGGGGTCATTTGTCCAAAGCGTGCGACCGCTGACGTGCCATCGGGTAGGGACGACGAGATGTACTTGTCAATCTCATAGGCGTCCAGGTTCAATCCACTGGGTTCTGTCGACGGCTTCATGTCTTCTTCGCGTCCAAACTCAGGCCAATCGCCAATGGTGAGATCGTTGGGTGGGCTATAGACTTGGTAGTTGTTGAGAGGGGTGGGCTTGAATTGGGGAGGGTCAAATCCAAAGTCCTCGTCTGATAAGGATCCGTAGTTGGGCGCTGAGGAAAAGCTGAAGTCTTTGAGGGTGTAGCCGTCCAGGTCACTGACGCTGTCGACCACGGAACCAGTTCCTGAAAGCGAGCCGAGGGCGGTCATTGTCGGCGGACGTAGTATGTTTGTTGTCTTGTTCCAGAGCTGAATGTGCACGAAGATTGACGGGGAGAGGGAGGGCTGCGTGATTATAGTGTGGCTTGACAGGCTAAAGCGAGGGTCGAAGGCAGGGTTTTGGCGTGGACTGGCAGGGAGGTATGTGAGGCGGTTCTCAATGGAATGTTTGTATCTTTTTAGGGAGTGTATCGTAGGGAGGTAGAAGTACCAATGGCCAGGATGGAGAAGTTTCTGGTAATATGGGCGACGGAAAACAGATGAGGGATTGACGCCAGGGTGGGCCGGGTTTCAAGTCCTGGTCTGCACCAAGGTTGCCTGGCTGTGGAGGAGAGGCACACAGGCACCGGTTCAAGCGAGAGATCTGTATCCGTACTGGATGGGGACTGGATGGATACCGGCACTGGCACTGGCAGCTCGATGGATCGGCGACGAAGGGAGGAGTGGGGCGGATGTGTGATCCGTGTGAGGCTTGTACTGGAGCATATGATATTGTTTTTTGTTTTGGTATAGCCGGCCCGACAGGGCAAGGGAAGGACGATCTGAGATGCCGATGGCACTGGCACTGCAGTAGAGAGGGCAGAGAGACGGACGGGCCCAACCACCGTACGATGGGAGCTGCGAAGGGCAAGCAGATGAGGAGGGGCTTCGTTGAGTTTGGTCACTGGCTACAGACAAAGCTTGAAGCAGACAAAGAGAGCGAGCAATGCACGACTAGTGAGTTTCTGAGGGCCAGGATGGTTGGTATGGTAGGTGCAGTACTGCAGTACAGTGGGAAGATGGAGCAGAGATGAAGAGGAAGAGGGGTTTTCGTTCAATGGGAGACATGCGGATATGGCTTCAGCGGGTTGAGGGCTCGTGGCACTGGCATTGAGTCAAGCTGGTCGATCGATTGGCAGGCAGGGAGTTCGAGCTGGTTGTGCTGGCTTGTTGTTCAGGGACCGCAGTGCAGGAGGAGTGGGAATTGGGTGGTATGCTTCACAGTTGTTTGCCTGCGCCCGTGCCTCACGCCTGTTACAGCCTGCGCTCAGTTACCGCGGGGCACTGGCCGGCTGGCAGGGCAGTTCTGTCACACCCGGAGCGGTACAGCACCCAGTACCTTGCCCCTACTACGAGTACTAAGGCACCTGCGACTGCTCGCCTGAGGCAACATTGTGCGCTCTGCCCTGATCAGTGAGACTGTTGAGACACTGCGACAGCCGCTAGTCGGATCCATCTCTAGCAAACACCCAGTCGGTAGCGGTGGTGCCAGTGCCAGAGTGTCCGAGAAAGGCGCAAAGCATCCTCAAAAGAGCCCGGCGAGCGAGGTACCTTTCAGCTAGTACAAGCTGTGCGGTAGTGGCATGTCACTGCTCTACAAGACTATGTGCCCGAAATCGAGTCTTTCCACCCACATCGACGGCGCCAGAGAGTTGATCGACCGTGGCATCGATGATCGAGCATCCACTGCAGCACCCGATCCACAGTGCAGTCTTCCAGCGTACTGTGAGTCCCATGTTAGCGTACCCCCACTACTACCAGGCGTCTCTCCACCAGCGTCGAGCTGCAAGACTTTCATTGACTCTCGAGCTCTCTCTTTGGCTCCAGGCAGCTAGCCACAGTAACTAGCTGACTACTACCTAGCTAACTTTTCTTTTATTGTTGTGTTGGTCTGAGGCTTGAACGCATCGCATCAGCCCACTGTCACTGGGGCCGGCAGTGGCTCACCTGTTGCGCACTGCAAACCATGGGCTTTTCCAAGAGTGCCATGTCCTCCCGCAGCCCTGTTTTCCTCCTTTCCCGTCTTCCTGCATCTCCAACTGCTCTCGCTGGGCTTCCCACCAGTGAGCGCCACAATCGGCACACAGATTCCGGCCAATCAGCACCGGCCTCCCTTCTAGATGCTGGGTAAACATATCCGATCGCTGTCCCTCGCGCCCCCTCTTGCACATCGACGCTGTTCATGGGAATCTCCTGGCTCCCGGCTCCATGCTGCCCCATTCCAGTTATTGATTGCCCCTCGGCCAGCGTCACCGGCTCCAGCAAAGCCACCCACCACAACGATTGCAGCCACAGACAATCTCCTCCCTGTTCGTCATAGCTCCAGCTTCCATTATTGTTTGTTCATGTCATGCAGTGGTTCAACCTCTGTCGGTATGACTAAAAGAGAAGACCATTACTAGTATGGTTAAGGCTACCCTTGGTCCCCGGGTCCCTTTTCGTGGCGGCTCTCAACAATGTGGCTTCGTGGTAGCTCAAGGCAGGGAACAGGGATCTGGAGAAGATGGAAGCCCAAGTGGAAGGAGCGACAGGCTTCTGGAACAACCAACCGTCCCATGTGCGACAGGTTCAAGTTCGACAGCCGAACGACCAGGTGGTTCAACTGGATTCATTTCTGTGCTTTCTTCTCACGAAGGCCATGCACGGTATCACCCGTTGTACAGTTGGGCCGTTACAGCACAACTCATCCCCAGACACAGATTCGAGGTACAAGGATATATCGGCTATGTCATCATATGTCATTGTGCAGTATAGAGCCACCTCGCCCCGAAAGAACAGCGGCGCGGGATGATGAAAGCTCACGCCTCTGCCGCTCCCGGACAATCCTTCCGGCGCGATGCTCCCCCACTGCAACCGCAATGGCGAGGCCCTGGCCGTTGTCGCAGTACCGAAGGCCCACCGTCTGGTTTCTCCTCGGCGAGCTAAGACATCCCAATGCTGTGAGAATAATGACATCTGCGACAATGATATAATGTCAGTCATGCTGCTGTGCCACAAATCCAAATGGGCGAAACCAGCGCCCCTCCCTTGCTGAAAGTCAATATTCTGGCATGCTGATCATGAAGCTAGTGTTGTACACAGTCGGCTCCGATGCCCCACTGCCAAGGAACACTTACGTCAGCTGCGCTTCCTAAACCTCGCTATCGACCCTAAATAACGCTCGACAACGACGTCGACGACGAGGTTTACCACTCTCTAGAATAATCTATAGACCGTACGAGATATAGTATTCTCTCCGATTTCTATAGTATATATAGGAGTACTCTATATACTATTAAGTAGATAGAGCGAGAGTAAATATAATAATTTTAGCGTACCTACTAATAGTTATAAGCCCGGTTTACGACTAACTACCCTATAAACGACTAATAATCGAATATATTTAATCGTAATACTTATACTCTAATACGAGAACTAATTAATAATATTAATAGAATTATTCTCTATCGTAATCGAAATAATAGTAGTATACTATAAGAAGTCGACTCGCTCTCCTACTATCTTCGTTAGAACTACTCCTATTCTAAGTACTCTCGATAACTAGAATAACTAGTATAGAGCCTTTAAAAGTAAAGTATAGACTAACGAATTATAGTAGTATATCGACCTCTCCTAACTCGAATCGATTCTATTACTAGGATCGTCTAAATTACCTCTCTATACCGAATCGAATACTCTTATATAGGAGAAGAAATAGACGCTAGATAGGAAAGATAAAGACTACTAACGTTAATTAGAGTTATATCGATAATAGACTACTCTAATCTAATATCTTAATAATCGATTTAATAGAACGATATCTCTATCTAACCGCCTATATTACGAAGATAAGTCTACGCTCTATCGTCGACTAAAGATATTAAGAGATCGTCTAGAACTCTTAGATACGATAAAGAGATAAAGTCTCGCGAGTAAGTAGTATACTTTAAAATAAGTACTACGAAGTAAAGACTTAGAGATATAGTTCTATTAATAGAAGTCTCTATATAAGTAGTATAAGGCTCTATATATAATAGAAGTTATAGAAGACGTAGTATAAATCGACTTCCTTACTACTATATAATCTCTATATTCGAGTATAGTAGGTCTAGAACTTACTAAGTTCTATAACTAAAGAGAAATAGAATATATATTATTATACGATCTCGTTAATATAGTTAGAGGCGTATATCGTAATTCGAAGAAATTAATAGCGAAAGTAGTATTATACTTAGTATTTAGTATATTAAAAGAAGATATAAAGTAATAGAAGAAATCTAAGTATATCTATAGATATAAATACTTCTATAACGAGTACTATTATCTAAATTCTTTAAAATAATCGAATAACTAGGCTCTAAACCCTAAAGTTAATTATAAAATATAAACTAAGCTAAATAATAATAAGGCCTTACGTAAGTATATTAAACGATTTATTAATAAGAATAAAGAAAATAGTAAGGATAATTAATAATAGTAAGAAGAACTAATATTCGGAGTATTTATCGCGTATTTATATACTACCGTAACCGATTATAAGTTAAAGAATTACTAGATACTTAACTCCGGATCCGATATATATATATATATAATAAGCTAGAGAACTTTACGAGAACTAGAGAAGTAACCGAAACCGATATTCTTATTATAGAGATAAATCGATATTCTATTAAAGTATTTAGAAGTATTAAACTACGCGTATCTACTAAAAACGGAGTTAAGAGACTTATACTACTTAATATCGCTCTTATTCTAGAGTTTATAACGAACCTAGTATCGCTCTCTCGCTTATATAATAAGAATATTAACTAGAATATACTAGATAGAGCCTTAATACTAAATAACGAGTATTTATACTACGTACGAAGAAAAGACGGTTACTAGGTACTATCTAATAACCCTATCTTAGTATCTCGATAATTATATATATCTAACTCTATATCTATTTCTTCTTCTTCTCCTTTAATAACCCTAAAGGCTACTTCTAATACTACGGCGTCGGGATTAGTTAGAGAAGCTTTTATTACGAGGCCGCTAGCTTCTCTCGTAATACCCTATACGTAAGCTCCCGTTACTGCCGCTACTATAGCTTAAGAGGGTGAGCCTCCCTATAAGGACTCCCTAGATAGACTATACGCCGTTATAGAGTATATAGAATATAAAGCGCTCCGGTACCTACTAGATATAGTAATCGGACTTCCGAAGATTAAGAAGATTACTTCTATTTAATACGAGCCTTATCGATTATTAAAAGTAACCTAGATTATCTCTCGAGACTCGTTATAAGAAGAATTAGTAATAAGACTATTTAATAGAGTCTTATACGATTTAATATCTCTTAATATAGTCTATAACGAAGACGAATAGATTAGCTATTTTAGAGATTACTATACGGGAATATATTTCGTTTATATATATCTACGAAAGTATTAATTATTCTAAATAGTTTAAGACTTTATAAATATAATTTAAACGAGATATAGCTATAATATTAAGTTTATTAGGATAGATAGAGAAAGGTCGCTATCGAAGATCTATAATAACGACGTACGAGATAGAAGTCTAATAACTAAACGAAGTATACTATATACTCTCGCTTAAAATAGTTATACGAAGCGAGTAGACTAATTACTAATTAATATAGCTCGAATAATACGTCTATATATAAATCTACTAAAGAATCTATAGTCTAAGATAGTAAAAATTGTAGAATATATTCTAAATTAATTATCGTCTTATACGCTTAGCTAGAAAACGCTATTCGAAATACTATATAGGCGACGACTTAATATTTCGTATATATACGTATACGGCTATAAAGCCTATATATTATAGTATAATATTTTACGGAAAGATAAACTTTAATAACGCGCGTAGATTAGGTATCTCGTCGAGTATAATTTAATAAATATCTTTTAAATCTAGCGACTCGATAAAGGCTAGATTATATAAATACGAGACGTTATCTTTAACGATAACGAGACGTTTTTACTACTTCTATATAAAGATAATAAGTTACTATTATTTAAGTTAATTTAGCTAGATATTAAAGTATACGAGTCGATACCTAAAATAGATATAATTCTAATTAATTCTAAAAACGGCTTAGCGCCGAATTATTCGGAAACTACTTCCGACTAATTAGGAGCTTAGGAGTCTTAAACGACGTTAATTCCTAGCTAATTAGAGGCTAAGGAGATTAAATTATATAAAGCGCTAATTATACGTAATTCTATAGATATATATCTTACTTCTAACGCTATACCTAAATCTTCTTCTTCTTCTTCTTCTTAACTAGCGATATTTATAGAGCCGATAGCTACTATAGAAGTAATCGTAGGCTTACGAGGCTCGCAATCTATAACCGAAAGTATCGAGAGCTCTCGTCGCGCTACTAGCTAAGAGGACTCTACCGCCCGAGTCGCGCGCTAGGACGCCCCTACTTAAGAGGGCTTCTCGGAGAGACGCGAGTCTAAATAAGAGAATATCTCTAGCGGCGCCGAACCTCTATCGATATCGTTAAATTCTTCTTCTTTATTTATCGTAAAGAACTAGTCTCTAGCGGAGGCCGATCTCTTCTTAATAAGAGAATAAGAAAGAAGAGAAGAAATTTAGAAAGAAGAACTATAAATATATATATTTAAGAAGACTACTATAGAAGACTTACCTCGCTAGACGTCTCTAGACTAAGATAAGATAGTCTAAGCCTCTCGATATACTAATATCTTAGTAGATTTTAATAAAAGAAATATTATTATAATAAGACGACGTTTAAAATCGAGAAAATAGATATATATCGCTACGCTTAAAGATAATAGTATTAATAAAGATCTATTAACGTACTACTTAGCCTTCGCCGCCGTCTTTACTATCGAAAAAGATTACTAACGAGTATATAGAGATACTCTTCTTTCTAAGCTAAAATTATAGAAATAGCTCGCTAATTATCTATTTCGAAAGAAATTCGAGAAAGTCGCGAGAGTTAAATATAAGAAACTTAAACGTAAGTAAATCTTCGTACTAGTCTCTACTAAAGATATAAATAGACGTAATATTCTTTCTCTTATCTAGATATTTAAATATAAATTCGATAATAACGGCTACTTAAGTAAGTTTAAGGCGCGTATATATATATAAGAAGACTT